CGAGAGACTCAGTCATGAGTCGAACTCAAACCCTATCTAGGATCGAGTCGCGAATAAGGCTAAGAGCCATGTATTGCAGCTGCCTACAGAACTGGGACAGCTGTTGTCTTTGGAATGGCTAGCTAACGTTTCAGGAAAATGAACTAACAGGACAGATTCCTGCAAGTTTCTTGTCTCTGACCAATTTGAGGGATGTTTCTGGTTCTGAAAACTCCCTTGGCGGATCATTACAAAGTGACATTGGACTGTTTACATCACTTTGGGAGCTTGATCTTTCCAGCAATCTTGTGACCGGAACTCTCCCGAGTGAGGTTGACTCCCTGTTATTATTGCACACCTTGTTGCTTCAAAACAACTCCCTCACAGGAAGTCTTTCCCAGGAACTGGATTCCTCTGGTTTTATCGAATTCAGAGTTGAGGGGAATGTATTCTCAGGGATCATCCCAGAACACCTTTGTTCATTTCTGTGGTGCAATTATTGTTCCACAAATGATTCGATTCTTCTCCTGTGTCGACCTGTGTGAACCTGCAGGGAATCCCAGACTGTCCAGGAAGGTCTCCACCCATGTGTTTGGAAAGATTTACCAACAACATTGTGCTCAACATACAGGTTGACACGCAACCCAGTGTGATGTCTTGGGGTTGGCAAGAGGAAACAAATGTGACATGGGTTTGGAACCAACTGGACGGATAGAGTGGAAAGCCTGTACCTCGGCTTTTCTTGCACTCCTTTATTCTTGATGCCTCCCCAAACACAGCGTATCAGCTTGTTGTTTCAGACCGTTTGGGGGATGGCCTCTCTGATGGGTATTCATACAACTCCGGTGATTTGGTTAAAGGTATTTACCCAGGTTGGATTATGCTGACTGCAGCCAATGAAACAGTGCTCTTTTCCTTTGGCAATGATGCTTTCTCTGAATTGATAGTGGATGTTTTGGTTGGACCTGATGGGTCTGTCCAACTCACAAATACCACTACTACTATCTCAAAGATTCCATGCATTGTGACTAGTGCAGGACTAGAATGCAATGATTAAATAAATCCATCTATGTAAACCTTTGTTCAGATTTACTTTACAAACAGAGAACATGGCTTTTTAAGAAAAAGTAAGTGTGTGTTCACAGCAAATGAATTTCCTCCTGGTAGCTTCTTTTTAACCGAGTGGGCAGTGCACAAGCAAACAATGACATACATGCTTACTGGACCCACTCTTTGGTCGATTTGCCATCGAGACAATCTTTGTTTTCTTCATGCTTGCCCCATTGCAAAGTTGCTGAGCTTCATGCTTGCCCCATTGCCATGTTGCTGAGTTCAACATTCTGGGAGTGCACGGGATTAAAAGAGATGGATTTGGCATTTTGAGCTTTAAATCTTTCATTGATGCAACTTTACCTGTAGCGGTATCGAAAGAATTAAGTTTTATATGAGTCTTGGATCTTCCAAATCAAATCGTGTCTGAAGTCTGGGGAACATCGCACATGGTAATTCCGCTGCGAAAGGTCACACTGGAGTCTCATCACATCATCACTGTCCTTGCCTTGCTGTTGTTTCGTTCAAGGTTGCCATCAATATCATCATCATGATGGACAGCACAAAGCTCGGTGCGTAGCTCGCTTGTTTGCTGGTTAATTAACCAGATTTGGGCCTGTAATTGTTTGCTGTGTTCTCACTCACCGTCGCTTCTGCCCCTCCGAACCTCCAGATGTGCAGCTTTTTCAAAATGAGATTCCCATGGTGGCTGCTATCCCCATGACAGAAGCTGAAGACGAAGACTGCGTTCGAGTCTATTCTTGCAGTGTCATCCCAAACGATAGTACCGAGATTGGAGATCGCAATGAGAGTCAACAAGCGACTAGAAGTTGCGGCTGTGCGCCATCGTCTACCCCTGGAAGACTAGAGAGCACAGATGCCCTACCGGTAGTAGGTGGTCGAGTAAATTCCAGCCAGCTTACGGCCAGCACGGCACCGTCCACCGTTCGAAGCAATTCTGCAGTGGAAGACGAAGCAGCAGCACAAGAAGAATTACCGAGAGACAGCAGTGCTACCGTTATTATTGCGACTCCTACCCCACAACAACCAACTCCTGCCAGAACCACATCGCCACCCACAGCCTTTGCCACTCCCGAACCGCCAATACGACACCACGAGCGATCGGCATCGTCGCCTCCTGAGACGACCACCATTTCTGTCACTCCCCCACGGCATTCCTCCGAACCGCCTCTGACAACCCCTAATACTTGCGGGTGCCCATCCACTCCAGTAGTAATACAACCACCACAACAACGAACAATGGTACGAGAAGAATCCGCTCCTCTTCAAATGGAACAACTCACATCTCCGGCACCGTCCATGGTCGTTACGGACGAATCACGACAACAAACCGTCATACTGGGCAAATGGAAAACACCCCTCTTTGCCTGTCTCTCTCCAAAGGCATGGTGCACATCGTCACTACCTTGCATGTCCTGCTGTTGTGGTTCCATTGTCATGGGACAACTCATGACCAGATTGCGGCTCAATTGGTTGGCGCGGTTGGATCACGAACGATACAATCGAACCTTTGGCATCTTGGTGGCCATTACGTTTTGTTACTTTTGCACCGTGGCATTTGGCATTGGAGGATTTGTCTATCCCTTTTTTTGTCTCGTTATTGTCTTGTTGGGAATGCGGGTACGGGCATTGATGCGGCAACACTATCGCATCCCGGCACGGTATTGTTGTCCCAAAGTCACGTGTGGGTATCCCGAAAAGATTATTGCCTGGGAAGACTTTTGTTGTCTGTTTTGGTGCACGTGTTGTGCCACGGTGCAAATGGCGCAACAAACACACGACGATAAGGAATATCCCTACGAGTGCTTTTCGCCGACCGGATTGCCCCCGCATGCGTCCGAGATTGTGGTGTGATAATTGGAATCGAAAGGAAAATGCAAATCAACAAGCGACAATCATCACGGGGTTCTCGCAATCATGTGGCAAAGCGCGAAGCGAATGATTCGCCATGGTCGCCATGACGATTCAATCGTCATGGCGACCATGGCAGCAATTCATTATTCCCAAGATATTGTTGCAAAGGCGGATGATTGGGGCTGCATTCTGGGCGTCACACGTGCGACCACACTCGAAGCTGGTTCGATCAGTTTCCCGCCAACAAACAAAGATACAACGAACCCCTGGGCGGCGAAGGTTACCGGTAGTCTCTGTCGTTGTGGGAATGCTGTATCACAAGAAGCAATCATCACCAATAGACACACAGATTCTACATAGCTACCATAGTATTCAGTTGGGCATGTTGGGGTACGGTCTGGTCATTCAAGGCGCAGACAAACAACATGGTGGGGCAGCACTGCAGCAAAATTCCAACTTGAACGTGATCAAGAGGATGCGATTTGGAAAAGATTGACAAGATCCCGTATGATACGCTGTCATCTAGCTAGGTTATGTCTGCTGGTTTCTCTCGAGTTAGTTCCCTTATTATGATGATGATAGGTCGTTCCTTATCCGGCACTTTTCGGCGGATGGGACCGCGCCGCCTCCGTTCTTGGCTTCCGACAAATAATGTGGCACCGGCAACGAAACAGTGGTTTTCCACCGTGTGGCTGACCATTTATTTTGAATTTTGTGCTTGTGCGAGCTGTATGCAGCTCCAAGTGCATGCGGTACGGTGCGCCGTGGCATCTCCACAAGCTATTCCAACCGCAAGCTCTGGCTAGCTTGCTACGGAGCTATTCATGCCGGTAGCTCCCGTTGCGTAAACGGGGAAGTCACTATGGCTTCCAAAGAGGGAACTATGGTGTGGAGGGTTATGTGGTGACTTAGTTAGTAACAGACCTGACCGGTCCCGTGGACCACCGGATCGTGGTAACTCCATCCATGCATGGCATTGCCTCCATCCACGCCACGATAAAACGCGCGCCAATTGGCTTTTTGAAAAATCTGGCGCCCACGGCCTCTTTTGTGGGTGTCACATTGGCAAAGTGATACATTTACAAGTTTGTTGAAAGCATTGGAAGTATCAATAATTGACCATGAGATCATCATCTCTTGCCGTCGTCCTGTTGCTAGTGATTGGGAGCCATGGAGTGTTTATCGACACGGCGACAGCGCCTCCTGTTGACCAACAAAGTACACCGGCTCCAACAGAAGCGTCCCCACAACATAAAGACCAACCCACCACTACTTCCGAACCACAAGCACAAACTCCCTCCACGCAACAACCTGAAGTAACACAACCTCCACAACAACCGCAGTCTCAGACGCAGGCAGGCACGCGACCGCCTGAAACAGAAAGCACTGCTACTGCTCCCAAGGAAGTACAGCAACAACAACAACTACATCCTATTACCAACAGCAACATTCACCATGCCGTCAAGGAATGGATGAAGAACCGCAATTCTGCCCTGTCCAAATTTGGACACATTAGTACATGGGATACCAGTCGAGTGACGGACATGTCCTATCTATTTTCGTGGGAACGATCGCACGCACTCAGTCAATTCAATGATAACATTACCACCTGGGATACACACCGCGTGGTCAATATGAGTCACATGTTTTATGGCAATGCCGTCATGAATTTGGATTTGGGAAAATGGAATACGACGCACGTGCAAGATTTTTCCAGTTGTTTTGCTCATGCCCAAGCGTTTGAAGGCCATGGGTTGCGCCATTGGAATACGCGTCATGCAATTGATATGCGCCGCATGTTTCGCGATGCCAAAGCATTTATCGGCAATGGCATTCACGTGTGGGATACCCGGTCTCTCTCCAATGCCACACGCATGTTTCACGGTGCCACCAATTTTCACGGAGCCCATCATTGGCAATGGAACACGCATCGGTTACTCGACATGACGGAAATGTTTGCGGAAACGCCTGTGTTTACGGGAGATTTGTCCGCATTGGATGTGTCCTCTGTAACGAGTATGAAGGGAGCCTTTTTCAAGGCGGCCAAATTTAATGGTGATTTGACTCTATGGAATACACATCGCGTGGTCGATATGAATTCCATGTTTGCCTATGCGACGGCATTCCAAGGCACGGGGTTGGATCATTGGAATGTCAGCCGTGTCACCAATTTTGCCAATACATTTAAGCGATCCAATTTCAATCAAAATGTGAGCGGGTGGGATGTCAAGAGAGCGACGGATTTGAGAAGTATGTTTCGGTATGCCGCGCATATGAAACAAAAAGTCTGCTGGAAACTCCACAAGCATGCCAATGTCGATGGCATTTTCTTTCAAGCCAAGGCACATTTTGATCGCACGTGTGTCAAACACAAGGACATTGTGGCCAGTTGCTGTCTCCCTCGATTGGACAATGCCTGCCAGTGCGGTGAAATGACGGTCAATCAAGACCACGAGGTTCAGACCATGAACAATGCCACCACGGCTGTCGCGGAGGAACCCGGTTCTGTGGGTGCCGCCAGCAGTGTCTCGTTCTTTTCCAGTGGCAGTGACCATTTGATGGCCTTGGGGATTGCCTCTGTCGTTGGGTCATTGATCATGCTGTTTTGTGTCATTCGACGATTCCGTCTGCGAAATTCCATCACCACTATTGAATTTGAGGGGGATGATCCGGATGTGTCAGATTTGGATATGACGCCCACGCCCTATAACAAGAACGCCACTCTCACCATTCCTGCCACCAGTACCAAGTCGTTTTCGTCTCATGAAAGTGACGACGAAGGACCCATGGAAGAAGTGACCATGCGTGAAATCATCTAGACTAGTAGGACAATAAGAAGTGGAAAGGTTGCATTGCCAGTACCGGCAGACCACTCCGCTGCATCTTTGTATGTGTTACCTGCTCAAGACAAAATCTTGATGCTGTGAGGTACATGTAAACTGACAACATAGAATCACACTATTCTAATCTGAGACGATATATCAACAAAAGTTATTCCAATGTTCTGCTTTTACATGCTTGCCAGTAGTAGATACCAAGTGATCGTTCAAGCAGGATAGAGAAAAAGAACTGGCGGCACCTCCCCAATAGCTGTTTTCGTCGTTTCTGTTGAACCCTGTTTCTATCTTCTTTCGTTTTCGAGTTAGCATTATCTACAAGGCCAGCATTTGGTTGAAAATATCTAAAAGGAGTCTACAAGGCTAGTTGCAATGAATGGCTTTCTCACAAGCACACGTCGTACTAGTATCGTTATGGAATCTCTCCACTGAAGTTGACAATGTACGAACCGCCATTGCTCAATCCTGGCTGCCATATCCGTTCAAACCCCAGTTCCCAAATGGGATCGGCATCAATCAACCAATTCCTATCATTGCAATCGCTGTCACTATCCACACAGCAAACATCGCAACATGAACAATCGATTTCGTCACAATCTGCGGAATAGAATTCACGTGTTGCAGAGAAACCATCGCATACTGGCCCAGCATCGCCTTTAAGGTTATTGCCTTCCATCAACAAGAACTCTGTAGAGATTGTAGACATAACAATGGCAGACGAATAAATAAGGTGGGAAAGGTATGATTGACGTGCCCACACGTGCATCAACACAATCATGAACGTACCAAGACTATATTGAATGGATGACAGCAACGAGGGGATGGTGCCACTGAGCTGATTGTGATTCAGCATCAGCACTTGTAAAGAGGTCAAACCACTCAAAGATTCTGGAATGAACCCTCCCAACTCGTTCTCCCCCAAATCAAGCAGTGTCAACAGTAGCAGAGTATCGCCAATCCACGAGGGAATCTCTCCGGTTCGTGCCGTATTCTTCAAGGACAATTCGATGAGATTGGTCATGTCCTGCAAAAACGAGGGAATGGGTGCCGCCTGAAAGGGATTGGATGCCAAGAATAGAATGTTCAGAGAATCACTCATTTCACTCAATGCGTCCGGAATGGTGCCAGTGAATTGATTGACAGAGAAATCCAAGTGTGTCAGGGCGACAAGTTGACCAAATGCGGTGGGAATTTCCCCTGTAAGATTGTTGTAGTTGAGTGCCAGCAATTCCAGAGCGGTGTTGGTGTCTGCCAATCGTGGGGGTAATGTTCCGTAGAGTTGATTGTCGTGGAGATCCAGAATCCGCAACGTGGGATGTTGCAATAGACTGGCGGGTATGGTGGAAGTCAAGTTGCATTCGCTCAAGTCTAGAATCTCCAATCTTGGCCAGCCACCAATCAACACATCGTCCAGTAAGGACGACGATGTTAGTATGGTTTGTTCCAAGACCAAATGCCTAAGGCGGGTCATGTTGGCCAACAAGGTCATGTTGACCTCTAGGAGAAAGTTGTCATCGAGGTATAGTTGTTGCAGATTGGTCAGATTGGCAAAATTCTCGGGGAGTGATCCTTCCAATTGATTGTTGGACAAGATGAGGCTCTCGAGGGATGTCAAGTCACCGACCCATTCGGGCAGTGTCCCATTGAGATCGCAGTAGTGCAGCCCAATGGTTTCAATATTTTCATGACCTTGCAAAAATGCTGGAAATGGTTCTGTGAGGCGTGGACTGTTAAAGGCAAAGAGGTCCTCCAAGTGTGTCAAATAAGAAAGTTCCATGGGAAAGGAGCCTTCCAAAAAGTTGGAGGCTGATGGCAGGATGACAGGAAGAAACAACACAACATGGATGAGCCAATCACTGGGAAAATATCTCTGGTGGGTACGATTCCTCTTTCGTACACTACTACTTACGCATATACAATCTCCGGACGGTCCCCGTGTCCTCAAAGCAAGTGACTCCGTAGGTTCGAATGAGGCCATCGTCCACAAAGCCAACCAGATTCCACTCGCACTCATTGACAGGTTGCAAGAAATTCAATTGATTGGGCCAGTAGGGTCCTCGCAAGGCGAAGTAGAATACCGTCAGGATGTATCGTTGGGTAATGGCAGGGAGGTTGTCGCTGTGGCTCAAATCCTCCAATTCCGACTCGTCCTCGTTGGCCATCCAGTCAGCAGCCTGGTACTGAGGAGAATTTGGGTCTTGCAAATCCTGGAGGGTACTGATTTCGGCCGTGACCAAGAGTTCCACCAAGCCTTGAAATCGGGTGCTTGGTTGTTTGATATGAGGTCCCTTGGGATCGTCAATCATGTTTTGAAGCAGTCTGATACCATTACTTGTAGTGGTACCAGTACTGTTAGCCATAGTGGGACCATTCGAGACAAACCCGATTGCGGCAACCACAGCACCGATCACCAGAACCAACACCATGGCTTTCCATCTCATACTAGTGGTATTGTCCATCGTACCACCAGCAGCTTCTTGTACCCGCACTCATTATGATCAAGACCTTCCAAAATCCAAAGGTCTCAAAAGAGAAAAACAATGAGGCGCTGGCTGGCGGGATGACTTTGAGTCGTTCGGGTCGGGGACACCTGAAAGAAGCACCAAGCACCCCCCTCAAAACCCCCCTCAAAACCCCCCTCCAGCCCCCGAACCCCTACCGATACCCGATGATCTTTCCATTGGTGGCTTGTTCCAGCGTGGTACTACATGTTCTGCTATTATTGATGTACGTGTCACTGATTTGGACTGTGCCTGCCCGTACCGGGACAAAGATCCCCTCAAGGTTTTACCAAAGAAGAACTCCAGAGAATTTCCAAGTATAAAGCCCCATGCGGATCCAATCGTGCCTCCTGCAATCCCTTTGTTGTTTCAGTGGATGGCATGCTTGCTCCCAAGCCGAGATTCCTTTAAAACACCTTGCTTCTGTCTCTGCATGCAGAGCCACATCTCCATTGCCCAAGCTAGCTAGTGAAAGCTACCGGTACCCATTTGCGTCTCCGTGGATCCTACAAAGCCATGCCCTTGGGCCTTGGGCCCGTAACGGTCCTCAATTTATCGTCCGTGATGGAAACAGGGAACCTAGTTCTGGCTTATAGTGTCAAGACAGGTTTACAGGCTTATTGTTTGCGTCTTGCTGACGGTGCTTACGTGAAATGCCCCGTAAACATCGTCATTCGTGCCAGTCAATCAATGCGAAATGCCGGTTAGTTCGTGCGGGATTCGGAACCGGAAAGGGCCACGGAACAGTTCCAGGCGTCCACTCCACGATGGAAGCTCACAAAACACAAACTTGAACAATCAAAACCCAACACAAACAACAACCAATCTTTACAATGAGTGAAACTACTACTACCACAACCACTACTACCACAACCACAATGAACACAATGGAAAAGGAAGTCCCATCTACCCCAGCCGACGAGACAATGCTGAGATCGGGTGTGACAGGAGCTGTCCTTGGTTTCCTCTTTGGAGGCCCCCTGCTTTCTGCCATTCTTGGATTCGGTGCGGCCTATGCTTCCCAAAAGAATGACAAAGCAGGTGAATATGCTCGTTCCCTAGGAGACTTTGGTGTTTCAGTCAAGGACAAGGCGTTGGAAATTGACGAGAAGCACAGCGTCAGCGAGAGATCGACCAAGGCGGCGACGGATGCCTGGAACAAGGCGAAGGAATATGATGCCAATCACAATCTTTTGGACAAGGCAAAAGACGCAGTGGTGAGCGGATGGCTATTTGTCGTCAACTATGTTCGCGAAAACCGCGTCCTGGAACGAGGTGTGGAAGTGACTGGGCAAGGATACGAATATGTGGCAGACAAAATTTGTGCAAGCGAAAGCAGTGTCATCTCCAAGAAGGAAGATTAGCTTTTGCAAGCAAAGGATAGCATTTTAATTTTGTAATAGACGCCCCATTCTAGAGTGGCACTTTCCATATGATGATCTGTATGCCATGGACGCCTTTGCTGATCTGTTGGCATTAGGGGTGGCTTCAGGTAACTGGTAGCATACTAGCTAGCTAGTACTTGCGCGAAAGATCAGTTCGCGCAAAGGGAGCCGTAGTGGGAGTGACTCAGTCGTTCGATTCGTGGTTGTGAGGATGAACGTGCCGCTTAGGGATGTTGGTTGCATTGATGACTGCTGCAAACGACAGCTCCTCCATGCAAAAAGCTGAGGCTACGGTAGGACTGCTTCATCGTTGCCTCTGGGCGTTTTCTTATCGATATCCATTTGGGGATCCAGGTCCTGCATAAACTCGAAAAAAGGTAGCAGGAAGTGCCTTATACACTGGCAAACTACTAGGCTACTAGGAGGTTGGCTGCCTGTTCACCCGCATCAATTCCGTAGAGGAGCATCCAGAATGGAGAGAAGGCAACGGTGTGTGTGAACATTGACTGCAACAGCCAAGGTATTGATGGTAGAATAAGACTGCTGGCAATACCCTGTCTCTTGTTTGGCACAATTACATGTATTGTTCCAATGGGACTGTTTGTCGTCTCTATGACAAACATTTTTGGGTACCGTAGGACGGCCCTGTCTTTCGTTCCAGTCTTCTTCACATTGGTTGCTATTCCAAACTACAAGGCATGTTGGGAGCCAAGCCAGCTTTCCTACAGGGAACAAAACTTTGGAGGAAGTCGTTTAGAGGATCATGATGTACCTATTGGCCCGAAATGTAAAACTAGCAAGAAAGTGCAAGGAAATTCAGGTAAACGGAGCTGTAATGTGTGGCAAGGACACCACGGGAGTCGAGCATGCTACACGGACAGCATTTGAGATCTTACAGGACAGCGCTTGCACTTGAGGTTACTTACTTGCAGCCATGGTGGCCAATTTATCAAATTCCGGTGGACGATCTCGACTCGGAACCAGAACTCTGGCACTCTTTCACTGTGATAGATCCATCTCTATCATCTGGCCAGCTACTAGATTTTGGGTAGCAGTCAGGGTTCTTGTCGCCCTTTTTAAAAGAAGGCTTGGTGGCGCACAATCTAGAAACACCAACCTAGTGAGCCGTGCGAAAACTACAGAGTAGAGTATCTGTGCAATGGAAATGAAACTAATAAATTTCTAATAATGTAGTAAAATGGAATGGAAAGTGCATAATGTATGTACTATTTCGTGTAGTTTTATGGACGGAATCATATGAGTCTTTTATGTGATGGAGAATTGGCGTGTTGAGAGTAGTTGTAGGGAGATAGAGCGATTGATTATACCTCACGCAGCGCCATGTCGTCGCCAAGCCCGTGGAATAAGCAGGGCCCTCAATAGTGTATTCGATTGACTGCTGCATTACACAGTCCCTTGTCGAAGTAATGCCGGATTTTTCGATTCTCGTCGTTTTCGTTCTTGATTGAGTTTGCTCTGTCGTACGACGAGTGGAAGGCACTGCCGCAGGACTTCATTGGTGACGGCGCCCTTGTTTCGCAGGGATCTCTGGAGTCGAGAAAATTCCTTGCCTTCAATGAGCTGATGCAAATCTTGCGGTGTGTAATGCAATTGTTTCGCTTGATCGGAAAATTGACCAAATTGGACGGTGCGGCGGTTCCCGTGATGACTACCGTTACCCCACAACCCATGTTGACTGCCAAAACTGGCGTTATTCAAGTCCATGAATCCCTTGAGACCGAGCTTTTCCTCTACAAACTCCGTGACGGCGTTATGATGATGATGATGATCCAATACTGTCGGAAGTGGTTTGTGATTGGACGAGTCTCGTCGTCGATCGCTGAGGCGTTTCCAGTACTGCCGTTCCGATTCTTCGTCGAGGGGTGACGAGCCTTCCGATACGAGCGGCACGCTACTGTCACTCGTGTCACTGAGGCGGCCCACCGAGTATTGTCTCTGCAAAAACGTGTGGCGGCGTTCTCGCATCTGCCGCAATGATTCTTCAAACGAAAGGCCCGGTGGGATTGGCGATTCGCCGTCCAAATGGCTCATGGCAGCAGAAGCGGAGTGTATATTGTCAAGGTTCATCTTTGTTTGTTTTGTCTTGTTTGGTTGTCGGGCTGATGGAATAAGGAAAGGTAGTAGAATGAGGGGTGCCTATCGATGGAAGGTTATGCGGAGACAAGAGCAGGACGGAGTTGGACTGAAAAACTAAAACTGATCAGGAAAACCTGAGAGGCTGTGAGAATTCTTGCTTGCTCTCGCTCAAAAATATTAATGAGCCAACGGTCAACCACGTTGCCTTTCCCGCAAGTTAGAAACGAAGCAGCTCGAAGCTTGGCTTGGCCACTTGCACTCTTGCACTTTCTCAAACCTGCGTTCTTTCGTCGTCCAAGACGTTATCGGATGGCATGACCCTATCATAAGTAGAAACGTGATGTAGTTTAATGGTTTTAACAGTCCAATAAAGCCGACATTCTTTCCACTGTAGTTGAAAGGCGGAACGGAAATGAACGTTGCTCGCCCCAGTACTGCCGTAGCTCTGCATTGAATCTACAGTACCAGTACAGCCGTACTGGTACCGGGTACATGTAGCTAACCAGCCAGCTCCACCAAAGAGCAGGCTGCCAGCTCCTGTGCGGCAGATGCACTTCATGTTTGTGGGTTTGCTTCCACCGGTATTATAATAATACCGGTGGCGGAAACAATTTACATGTACTTGGTTTGATGCCAACCAGCCTCCAGCACCTGGATCGATTCATGCACTTATGCATGGAAGTGATCTGCTCAACCTTGTCGCAGATAAAGCATCTGCACTATGAATTTCTCGAGAGGAATCGTATGATCTTTTTACTAAATTACACAAAGCTGCTGGGAAGATTCTGACGAGGAACCCAATTTGAGAATACCGGTAGTCCAATACAATAATGATGTATTCTTGCCCCGCCAATTTGATTCTCAAGTGGTGGAAGGCAACCAACAATGCCCACCTCCAACCCGCTGACTTCGAGGACTTCACAACTACATGTATGATAGCCACCGTAGTACGGTACGACCAGGGTGTGGGACTCACATGAAATACACGCTGTGGGTACACGATGTGAGTACGGGTATTGAGTACTGAGTATACTCGATACCCATACTCACTTGACCCTCGAAAATGTGAGTAATACTCAATACCCGTACTCACATGACTCCGGAATCTGAGTACTTTTTGAGTCTTCGGTGAGTACTTCGGTGAGTACTTTGAAGTGAGTACCAGTGAGTACTCGGTGAGTACTCGGTGAGTATTTTGTGAGTACCGAGTGAGTATTTCGCCAACTCGCAGCCCCATAAATTTCCCATTTTCTCACATTGAGCTTGTTCATTGAAGCTTTGAAGCCACTGTTGAGCCACTGTTGACTCTAGCTAGCCACTCTTTTGTTCTGTTGTCTCTTCTGTTGTCACCATGGCTGATTTGGAGGATGATGACATCTTGTCACAGGCAGCGATTGAGGCTGTCAATGGAGCCGATGGATTGGAAGAACCGGAACAAGAAGAAGAAGGTGATATCGAAGAAGAAGAAGAAGATGAAGAAGCTGCAGCTGCCGATGATACCATGGCCGCGGCAATGGGAACTGATTTGACTGCACAGTACGTGCAAGCCAAGAGTATTCCCACGCTCAGTCGCAAGCCACCCGGCCGTTCTGGCATTTGGGAATGTTACTACAGTGTCGACATTCCCGACGCCGAACACTTGGAAAACCTCCAACCTTTGGATGATTCGGCCTACCAAAAGATCCATCAAGGAATTCTTTCGGGAAGCAATATGTGGCGTGTCGTCATGCCTCGAGGATACCAGCAAGTCTCTTTCCAAATGTCTATTCCGGCCAACCTACAAGAAATGTGGATCAGGTGGATTCGATGGCACTGGCAATCCTGGCAAACACCTTCGAGGACAACACTTACCAATGTGGCAAGCAATCACAAAGGAAAGAGGTGCATTCCGTTACGACACATTTGTCAATCGATCGGTGGCGGCTGTTGCTGTAGGTCCAATGGCAGCTCCTCCTGTTCCCAGGAAGTACCGCAACAACATTCAGCACAATCAGTCATAGTACCCTTTCCGAGCCAAGGTCTATGGTTCATGAAATGAGTAGAGAGGCTGGAAAAAGCCAGGCTCTTGCAATATTTCAAGAAAAACAGCATCGGTATGCTACAAACAACAACATTCCTCTTCGTGTTTTGACGGACCACAAAGCATGTCCTGAATTCAGAGACATGATGATCTATGCCATGCAGAATGGAGCCGCTCTTCTGAAATGTCCCAACAATGCTTGATGGGACGCATGGCCATACAAACTACAGAGCCAAGGATTACCAACTTTCATGGCTGCGGTTGGAATGCATTTAGGAGAGACGGACAGTACTATATTGAAAACCTTTGGTTGTCATAAGTCTTTCCTTACTGTCGCTCATGACGTTTTGGACTCTAACAAGAAGGAAATAATTGGAGTGACGATCTTCTTTTAAAACCCCAAAAGGGGTGTCTATCTAAGAATTCCCGTTGCACTGGCGGAATTAAAGACAAGAAGGGAGAGCCACCACGAATCAGATCATGGATATTCTCAAAGCTTTTGGTATTGAGGACCGAATGATCTACAAGGCCATGAATGACACTACCAACACGGCGCTATTGGTGGGCCGCAACCTGAGTGGAGAAAATGCCTACTGTGCCATGCATGAGATTCAGTTGGCTTTTTCGCATGCCACCGGTCAAAGGAAACGCTACAAGGACAAGGTAGTGGTTGACGATTTGATGCTTGTCAGGCTATTCGAAAACAAGCCGAGGAACCGCCAAGTGGTTGGCCAACAAGAAATCGAAGGGGAGATGGAAGAAGTTCACGGACACACTCTCTGCTGCTGGCCGGATACCAGGGCCTTTTGCATGTCAAACCATACAAGGGCCGGAGGAGAAGCTTTGTTCTACGCTTCGTTTATCCAAGCTCGGTGGAACCTTCACCACTATTGCATTTGTTGACGATACATGTCCGGAGTGGAGGATTCTAAGTACATGTCATGGCACAAACCCTTGCGGTGGAATTCCCCATGTTGAAGCTTGTTTGCTTTGTCCAGTCGGACCACTATGGTGCCAATTCCTATACTGCCTATGGACATACGTGTGTTGCTTCTTATTGTTACTCCAAGTGGTTTGGGTGCCAGAGACTCGCCGAAGCAAAGCTACCAATGACACTGGAAAGTGGAATGGCACTGCAAGTTGGTACCCCACCAAGTTTGATGCTCTCCCCAGTTTGATGAACCAAAGAAGACGCGGAAGGACTTTACCTTCCTTCCACCACTGAAGAGGATTGGTTTGAGGACAATCAAAGTAGCGAAACTCCATAAGATTCCACAAAACTATTCCAGCGAATCCAAGTGAGTTGCGACGCTAGGTGCTTGGGTTTCAAGCTCTAAGCAGGATTGACAAACTCCTCGCCAGATGTGTAATCCTTTCGGTAAGACCACATGCTTGACGACTTTGAACACTTGCTACTGTTGTTCGATGGTTCGGATACCCTCACGGCAAACAAACTGATGGCAAAGGTGTTCGGCAGAGAGCCACGACGATATTGACGATCTGGGTCAAGCAGATGTGGGGAAACAAATTCGACCTAGCCGAACAAGCGAATGCAAATGCAAGTCCGAAGAAACCACAGGCCAAGCACGAACCAACGACCCTCTTGCATTGGCAAGGGAAGCCAAACGAAGGAAACGAGGATACTCCTGTGGAAGAAGGAGTTGACCAATCCAGAAAGCAATCGACAAATGGTTAGGCGAAGACTTCAACTTGTTGGATGCTCTTCGGGCTCAGAAGCGGAAGCCTATCGTTAAAGATGTTCTCTCTACACTTGGCAATGAAGAACATTGCTGGTTGGACAACATTGAAGTGGGAAAATCTACTTTGACTTACAAGAATGTGGGAGACAACTGGCAAAACCAACCACCCAATCATTTATGAATTGCTGTGCGCATCTTTGCAATGCCAGATAGCAACGGCTTTCAAGAAAGAGTTTTCAGTTCTTGTACATGGTTTGATGGAAAACTCAGCAATGGACAGAAGGTTGACATGACATTCCAAATGCGCTCTTTGCTACAAGAACAGTGCATTCATCCAGAACTACAACAATGCTCAATGATGCAAGAAAGGAATGGGCTAAGAATAGGACAAGGCTCTCCTCAAGCTAAATGCCAGCAGATGTGAAGAGAGGATTATGACAGTGATATTGATGCCATGGTGGACCTTTACAACAAGATTGATGAGCCCCAGCCCAGAACTAGAAAAAACCAAATAATTTCCCTAAAGTAATTGATTTATGAGTACTCAGTGAGTAGTCTATAGTACCACAAAGTACCTGTACTCACATGATACCCGTACCCACTTGACCCTGGGAATTGTGAGTATTACTCAGTACCCATACTCACTTGACTTTGGAATTGTGAGTACTACTCAGTACCCATACTCACATGCTAAAACAGTGTGAGTACCACGCCCTGGGTACGACTGCACTCGAGTAAAGGTTTTGATCGTGTCGTATCAGCTATGAACTCGATATCACCTTTAGTACATGAGAAGGGCACTTTATAACTATCAACTTCACTCATTGCTTCTTTTTGCAGCTTGGATCCCGAATGATTCGATCAATCTTTTAGAATAGACATCGACTGGCGGATCTCCAAGGATTTACCAAGACGTCGCCACTTCTCGTGAAAGAGACCACGCAGAAAAGAGGAAATAACGCAGAATCTTGCCAAAACAGCTGCAAAACCTTCCTTGTAAGTCTGCTTCAGGAGCCACTCCCACGAGCTCTCCCGGGCAAAAGCTGGCTCCAGAATGATTCGATTCGATTCGATTCATTCGATTCCGTTATCTGATGGACTTTGGGCTTCCGAAGCAAGCTGCATGGTGGCTCTGGCTAGCTCTAGCTAGAGCTCGAGCTACCTTTCGAGTATCCCGCTAGCTACTCCTAGCCAAGAAAAGCTAGCTGGTGGGAAGCAGGTACCGTAGCAAACAAGCTACATGCTAGCTAGTGACGATTAGCTTCGGTCAGTTCGTTTCAAACTCGCGGTTTCCTCCTTCCCAGCAGTTGCTCCAATGACTCAGTCAAATCAAATAAGACTTTTCCGTGGTGCCTTGGTAATGGGTGGTGGTTGGAGGAGTTGATCAGAAGATCGGAGGGGGGGGCTTGAGAAAGAGCTCCTTACTAGAGTTGAGTCATCTTTGGCACTTGTAGAGACTTACTTGCTCGTGGTCTGCCTACTCGTGGGCGTGGGGAGAGCGTTTCGGTTCTTCCTAATGTCATCGAGCTGGAAACTAATCGTTGGCAACCGTAGGGCATTGGAGTAGTGGCGCTCAACATCTATCCACGCCACCTAAAGTGGGGTTTCTCAAAACGAAAAGATCACAGCGTTCACAAGGGTTACTAATAAATTCCGTCTCATGGAGACGGCGCTCCTTTTGGTTACCCCCTCAGTTGCACTCCAAAATCGATTTGCCGGCGTTTACTGTGGAAAAAAGAGTAGCCGCACTTCAGTTGCAGAATCAACGGTCATGTGTATCGTTAAGTAACAAGTTCCCTTTCGAAATTTTTAGATTGATTCGTGGATAAAAAGAACCGTTGAAGTTACTAAGGTTAAAGTTAAACAGTACCGGTACTGCCTCAATCTATCCTTGCACCTCTGCATGCTGGTGTTCGCTTGCTTGGTCGCAAGTCCATTATTGAAGGCGCAGCACTGACTTCTCTCCCTCATTGTATTCCTATGGTAAACAGGAGGTAAATCCAAGCTTGGCCAACAAGAGTGGTACCGGTACTAAATATACCGGTAGGAGGAGTTCTTTATCCAATCGGCCGATCGATCGATGATCGATCGATCGATCGCAATGAGGTAAGCGTATTATCAAGCCTGTTATTGAAGGTACAGCGCTGACTTCTCTCCCTCATTGGATTTCTATGGTATTCAGGAGAGAATTTCAAGCTCGGCCGTCAACAGGTGAGTTGTTTTAATTATTCGAATCGAATCGAATCGGTCGCACCTCTATTATCTCTGTTATCCAAGCCTCTCTCAACCCGACCTTCTCCGGTGCAGAAGCGAAAGCCATCCCTCATTGAATCCTATGGACCATGGGATGGCAGTCAGTTCTCGGCCCATGACGGCCAAGTTGGTGCAATTTGAAAAACAATGGTAAGTCTCCGGTCGTCTGCAGTTGAGCACAGAAAACAAAACTCATATCTATTTGTTGTTTTCTCTGCTGTACTGCTGACGGCCGAGGAAATACCATTGCGTCGAGTCCTTTTCGAACGATCGGTCGCTCCGGAATTCAGGAAGAGGAGAGGCTACCGCTACGGCTGTACGGAGAAGACTGTTAACTCAAGCCCTATCACCAGCCTGCAAACGTCGTCGAGTCATTGAATGGCAACAGTCGTCAAGCGAAGGAGGACAACACACAAGAGAGTGGATCCTCCTACCGGATTCATCCCTTCTTGTTATTTCCTACTGTTTTGGTGGTGATTCCTGTGTCGGTACCCATTTTCCTGTATGCGCAAATCAAGTACTGTTGCCACTAGCTATACGGCAGCTGGCTACAATGGCTGGATTGACAATATTCCGTTGTGCGTGTATTCGTCATAAGGATCCAATGCGAGGTAACCGAGTGCAACGAGCAAAGTCGAACCTGCGTGTGTTCGGTACTGTTGCCACTGTCACCGATCGATGAACTCTACGATAGCTGGCTACGATGGCTGGATTGACAATGTTCGGTTTTGCATGTATTCGTCATAAGGATCCAATGCAAGGTAACGGTAACGGAGTGTAGCCAGTAAAGCGGAACCTGTGTGTTCGGTACTGTTGCCACTGTCACGGATCGATGTAACTCTACGGTAACTGGCTACAATGGCTGGGATTGAGAATATTCGGTTGTGCATGTATTCGTCATAAGGATCCAATACGAGTACGTACCGAGTGTACGAGCAAAGCCGAACTGTTCGGTACTGTTGCCACTGTTCGTTGATGTAGCTATACCGCAGCCGGCTACAATGGCTGGATTCATAATGTTCGGTTGTGCATGTATTCGTCATAAGGATCCAATGCGAGGTACCGGTAACAGAGCGTAGCGAGCAAAGCCGAAGCTGAGTGTGTTCGGTACTGTTGCCGATGTAACTATACGGTAGCTGGCTATGAAGGCTGGATTGACAATATTCGGTTGTACATGTATTCGTTATAAGGATCCAATGCGAAGTACCATGTACCAGTAACGGAGCGTAGCGAGCAAAGTGGAACCTGACTGTGTTCGGTACTGTTGCCGATGTAACTATACGGTAGCTAGCTACAATGGCTGGATTGACAATATTCGGTTGTACATGATGTATTCGTCATAATGATCCAATTCGAGGTACCAGGTACCAGTAACGGAGCGTAGCGAGCATAGCCGAAGCTGAGTGTGTTCGGTACTGTTGCCACTGTCGCCGATGAAACTATAGGGTAGCCGGCTATTGGCTGGATTGACAACTGTTGGTTGAGGCAAAGGGATACAGGAGACGAGCGCTGAAAAAACCGAATAATTGTATTCTTTTAAGTTCCAGTCCAGGTGGTTAGACGTACCTTTCAGAACAGAGCACCTGTCTTCTTTCACCCCCTCCCCAAGGTATTGTTGCCAGCCACAAGACTGAAGACCATTCAGCCAGTATCTCTTGTAGAGACGAATGTTGACAGCCTAAAAAAGGATTGGGATGAGTTCTGTTGCTGAATGACATCTGCTGCAGCAACAAGGTTCAGACTGCAATATTTCATGGAATGCCATCACTAGCTATGGGCTCCTGCCAATCATGACTGCCAATGTCTTGTTGTCATGCATGCCCACACTGCACTCTCTCTTCTCCATTTATTCCTCCTCTATGCACTCCTTTTGGCAATTGACCCAGATACGAAGGGCCCTCTCAAAAACATTTGAATGTGTTGAGAAAACGGCAGGAAATGTGAATTAATTCCTCGCTGTTAGTCAAGTATCATGGCTAGAATGTTGAAGTTAGCAACAATAATGTTCTAATCCACCGAGACTGGCTTCAGTAAAAGACAGCACGTTGGCCGGTGGTGCAGGTCTGAAAGGGTACGTAACTAAAGTTTACATAGAATCGAATCATTTAATCATCACATTCTAGTCCTGCACTAGTCGCAGTGCATGGATTCAAGACAGTAGTGGTATTTGTGATTTGGACAGACCCATCAGGTCCAACCAAAACATCCACCGTCAATTCAGAGAAAGCATCATTGCCCAAGGAAAACAGCACTGTTTCATTGGCTGCAGTCAGCGTAATCCAACCTGGGTAACTACCCGTAACCCACTCGCGGGAATTCGCATCAGAAAGGCCATCACCCCCGCTGTCAGATACAACAAGCCGATACACTGTGTTTGGGGCAGCATCAAGAATGAAGGAGTGCAGGAAAAGCCGAGGTATGGGTTTCCCACTCCATCCTTCCAGTTGGCTCCAAACTCCAGCCACATTTGTTTGCTCCTGCCAACCCCAAGAAATGAGAACGGGTTGCCCATCAATCTGTATGTTGAGCACAATGTTGCTGCTACATCTTTCCAAACACATGGGTGGAAACCTTCCTGGCCAGCCTGGGATTTCCTGCAGGTCCGCGCAGGTTGACACGGGAGAAGAATCACTTGTGGAACAATAATCGCACCACAGAAAAGAACAAAGGTGTTCTGGAACGGTCCCTGAGAATTCATTCCCCTCAAGTCTGAGTTCGCTAAAACCAGAGGAATTCAGTTCCTGGGGAAGAGTTCCTGTGAGCGAGTTGTTTTGAAGCATCAAAGTGTTCAATCTTGACAGGAAGCCAACCTCGCTCGGGAGTGTTCCAGTCACAAGATTGCTGGAAAGATCTAGCCTAACCAGTGACGTTAACAGTCCAATGTCACTTGGTATCGATCCACCAAGGGAATTCCCAAAACCGTGAAAATCCCACAAATTGGTCAGAGACCAGAAATTTGCAGGAATCTGACCTGTTAGTTCATTTTCCTGAAAAAATAGCCACCGCAAAGAAAACAACTGTCCCAGTTCTGTAGGCAGCTGTCCTGTGAGCTGATTTTGCCCTACCCAGACACCCCCTTTACCGGTGGCAAACTCTCTCATAGATGATAACAATCCAAGCTCTGATGGGATCTTCCCTTTGAACTGATTTTGGGATAGCCCAAGGTTTTTCAAAAAGCTGAGCTGTCCAAATTCTGTGGCAATTTGACCTGTCAAACCATTATCATCCAATAAAAGGTTTTTCAAAGAGGACAACTGCCAAATTTCTGTTGGGATTTGGCCAGTAAGCAGATTGTAACGAAGACTTATTCTTGTCAAAGCTGTGAGTAATCCCAGCTCTGTAGGAATCTGACCTGACAAATCATTTTCCCCCAAATAGATTGCCTCCAAAGCAGTCATCTGCCCGAGTTCTGGTGGAATCTGTCCTGTGAACTGATTATAATCCCATCGAAGCTCAACCAAAGCATCCAGCATAGCAAGCTCTGTCGCAATTGTGCCGGTCAGCTGATTATCCAACAAGCTCCATTCCACTAAGGAAGTCATTTTGTAGAATACTGTAGGAATGCTGCCTTTAAGTTGATCACCGCCAAAGCTCAAAGAAGTTAAGCAAGACATTTCGTAGAATGTGGTAGGTAGCATATCAGACAATGTCATTGCAATATCAATATTTTCCAAAGCAACGCGGGACAGGGAAGTCAAGAGTTCAATCTCGGGTGGAACCACAGGTGTCAACCCCGATGAAAGGTGGAGGCCTGTAAGCCAAAGAGAGGTGAATTGCCCATGGCCATCACATGAATCAACTCTCGAGGAGTCTGGCACCGGCCAGTAGGAGCCCAAAAAGAACGACCCAAATCCGCTGGAGAACCACTCACACTCCCCTGTTGTTTCGTCCATCCATCGATTCTTTATGAGAGGGTTCCAATTTTCTCCCTCAAAAGCATAAAAGAACGTAGAAAGAGCAAAGAGTTGCATTTTCCTCCACTCTGGAAGAAATGTGACGTTTTGATGATTGGCAAGCCAATTCCATGCTTTCCATTGGGGGGTTTCACTGCCATTATTGATGCTGGCCAAGGTGTAATCAGGTAGGTTATCCAAAAGCCAATCAAGAACACCTGTGGGGGCAGATGTTGGCACTTGGGAAGGTTCCATGGAACCATAGGCAGTGGGTGTCCCTGTGGAAATGATAACCTCTGGCTTCTTTTGTTTTTGGGTTCCAACCACAAACCCAACAATAATGCCCAAAACCAGTAGCAACCAAATCAGTGCGGCAATTCCGAATTGCTGCTGACTCTTCCGTTCTTGTTGCCGACGCTGAGCAGCTTCCAGATCGACTGGATTGGCATGCATCAAGTTGCCAGTGTCATCATCTTCTACAAGATTTGCTCGTGCCAGCTGTGCACCACTAGCACGAGTATCTTGTGTAATATGGGGCATTTGCATGGGGGTAGAAGTGTCCATACCAGCATTGACCAGGTCATAGTTCAGAGTTGTTGTGCGTTGCAAGTCTTCTCCAGGTGCTCCCAGGTACGCTCCAGGACGAGTCACCTGCTGTCGTTGTCTCACATCCCTCTCCAATATTAAGGGCTCTGCCACTGTGGAGGCTGCTACCGTGGCTGCCTCACAGTCAAATGGTCCATGTGTCTCCTCTTGTTTGCCGGGCGAGAGGGTCTCCTTTAAAATGCCATCTTCCTCTAAAGTGGAGTCTACTTTTTTTGGTTTTGCGACAACATCGTCACTTGCCGTAGGTTTGGAAACACTGTTGGCATTATCAAGAATATCCATCTTGGAAATCTTGTTGTTGGTGTCATGATGAACACTAGTCGTCTCCTCCTTTGTTGTTGCTTTTGCCATTGCCTCGGTCTCTGCTTGTGTATCATACTCATGATCTTCCAGATCCTTCTCCATCCTGCCTGTTGCTGTCTCGCCGCCTGGTGCTATGGTACTATAGTTATCGTTGGGGTATCGTTGGAGTTGCTCGAAAGTGGGAGGTTCGGCAAATAGCAGGCAAAACAGAGAAAAAGCATCGAGAAGACCTCCGAAGATGGAGGATTGGTGGGCAAACGGCTCCAAAAGGTTGTGAGTGCTAACCTTAAATCTGATGAAAGGGAGCTCGTCTCTGTGCAACGTCACCATCCGGAAGGCTTCGGCAAGCAAATCGCACCATGCAAACTTATTACATGTACATGTACTTGACTTGCAACCAAGGCGTTGAACGACGCAGTGGATTCGATTCCTTCCTTCAAAGTCTGAAAGACGAGGGTCAATCCGGAGAGCAGAGGAGGTTGGACTTCCCTCTTGCCTGGAAACTGCCGCTAGCTACCGGTAGTTGGAGGAGTTTGCCTTTAGTCTCTTCTTATCTGTTGTTGGAGGCAGCGTGGAGCTCAGTTGTCCGAGGAGGGTATCCTTGGGTATAACAACTTCTTCTCTTTTAATAGAGAGATCCGTTAGTCATCACGATGCCTACTTTACACTCTGATGATACTCCCCATAAGGATAATACTTCAACTAGAAAGCTCCATGTCAAGTCTGACTCTCCAAAGGAAGAAAAGAGTGACAAGAGCGGTCGTCATCATGCGAGGAATGTGGATTTTGCCATGGATTACTTTGTGGCCAATGATCCTGCCGAGTCCAAGTTGATTACAGATCTCGAAGAGAATACTGCTCTCCCGCCACCACAAAAACCACCCATGGGACACCGCCGTGGTGCTTCGAGAAAACTACATCACTTTGTCAAGCAGATGAATCGAAAGGGCCACAGTCGCCAAAAAAGCAGCACTATGAGCAGCGGCTCGTATGGCAGCCATGATAACAATGATCTCTTTCGAATGGCTTCCACCACCGAAGTACCTCCCACAGAACCAGTCTACAATTCACTAAATCATCATCAGTTGCAAGATGTCAATGAAGACTCTGCTGTGTCCAACAGCAACACTCCTCTTCTTCCGAGTAGATCCAGATTAAACAGCAGGGATAGCTCGTCTCGTCGTGCCAGCGCTGCTAGAAGACGGTCCTCCTCCATCAAGGAGTTACAACCGGTTGCCAGCGAGTTTCTTGCCAATTTGGCCAATGACCTGGACGAAGATTCCCATGGATTTGGGGATTTCTTTCACAATGGTGCCGCCGGCAGCCGGCGAAAAGAGAGTCACGGCAGCAAAAACGAGGATCCCTTATTGACATCCCCCACTCATACCGGTCACCACCGACGTCAGCGCACGACCACAGATGCCCTCTACGATCATGCCATGCATCTAGAGCGGTTGTTTGCCACTGAACCCAATAATAATTATGGCGAGAAAGAGTGGCTGTTAGATAATCCATCCAAGCAACAGGGGGGTGAAGAACAGCAAGCTGAGCCTGGTTCTCCCACCTTGTCAGACATTACTCGGGGTGACGACGACGAGGAGGGAGGAGATCCAGAGCGTGGGGCAGATGTCCGACGATCCTTGCTGGGAAGAAGACATAATATTCAGCCGCCCAATCGACTGAAAGCCGCATTATGGGAATTTGTCAATATCCTTGGGCCATGGGACATTTTGGATGGGATTTGCTACTTTCTCTTGTACAGAGTCCTACTCATGGTGGTTCCATTGTTGTCTCTGTCGGCAATTCTCTTTTATTGGTTCCAAAATCCCAACTTTGATTTCATTCCCACGGACGATGCCCGATTGTCGTGGGCGCTCATTTTTGCAGCTCGATTGGTGTTGACATTTAGTCTGGCGGAAGCCACACAATACACTTTGGAAGTCTTTACCACCCGCACCACCATTAGTGTGCGTGTGGCAGGACCCTTGATCTCATTGGTCGCTATGCAATCCCTGGGGTGGCCGTGTCTATTGGCATCGTGGGGGACATGGACTGCCCTCATCATGAGAGGGGGCGGTGATTTTGTCAAGAATTGGCTGTACTTTCTCCATATTGGCATGTTCAGTACACACAATTCGGACGATGGCTTTCTGGACAGTGTCATCTATGGGAGAATACTCTTGGCAATGGTGTTTGTGGGAGTGGCTACCGCTGCAAAGAGGACGGCAGTGGCATTGTATCTGAGCCGGAGAATGCTGCAATACTACCGAAAACAACTTGGCGATTTACTGGCAGATATGAAGCTCGTCATGGAGGTTGCAGAGCTTGCGGAAGCGACAGAAAACGAAGAGTTTTCCAGACTAATGGAAGAAGAAACCAAGTTCCACAATAGCTTCCGCACATCTAATACCGGTAACGAATCAGCAGCCAGCACTGCGCCTTTGACATCATTGAAGAGAGGGCAGTCGGCAGCAAAAATGGTGCCAACGCTCTCACCGTCCTCCCCTTCCCTGGAGAATCTCTTGATAAGAGAGTTTAGTACCGACGAGGACGACGACGAGGACTCTGGCAGTCTACTTCTGAGCGACCACGAGCCAACCCAACGTTTCTCCCGAGGTTCCTCTCCTATAAGCATTCGCAGTGTGCAGCACGTGACAAAGATGACTTCCCACGTGAGTGGAGCAGCGTCTGTGGCTACCAGTACCAGCGCAAAGGTCCCCATTCAATGGAATGAGCTAAAGAATCAGGCCAAGCCCAAACGGCGCGTCCAAATGGAACGAACAATGTCACCAATTGAATTGGCCACGTCGGCTGGAGAGATTCAGCGGACTCATCGTCAAAAGCAATCATCGAGAGGAATTGATACGATGGCAACACACTTGGATCATTGGGAAGAACCCGAAACCAAGGGAGAAAAGGTGAGCTTCCCCAGATTGTTGACAATGCGTGTGTGCATGCATCTGCAATTTTGTCTCAAACTTTTCTTTCACTATTCGTTCAAACCACTCAGAAAGCTCTTCCATCCTTGCACGATATTCTACAATTTAGAAAGGCAATGGATTTCTTGGAAAACCCTTATCCTTTCTCCGTGGCCTTTGGACCGGTGAGTACGGACCTTTGACTGGTGGAGCGGTGTCCGAACCTTGCGCTAACCCGACCTTCTTGTTTTGGTCGGTCGGTCAATCAAGGCAAGGACGAGGCGCGAATGCATCAAATCATCGGTTCGATGCTACAGGTACGTACAAGGGACTGTTTGCCCCGCCCATCACAAAGCCGTCATCACCGCACGTGCAGCTCACACATCTGCATCTCCAGGCGTCTACTACGTTTCGTTCCGGGTGAATCTGTGCTTGATTTTAACGTAATTGGAGATCTTTTGGCTTACGATGAAAACAACAATCCTCTCGAGAAGAAAGCGCTTGCCCTCGTGAACCTCTTTCTCCCAGAGAAGGACAACGTGATTCATCAGCTGGAGTTTGTTCGGTCCGTCGACGCTGTGTACAAAAGCCTTCGGTTTCTGAGAGCAAGTATTATCAATAGCACCAAGATCGACACTGTCCTGGAGAATGTCTTTGATATGGTCTTCAATGGAATTTTGGCTATCATTGTCATGACACTTCTTGGTTTGAATCCCTGGCCATTGCTCGTTTCCTTTTCAACTGTCATGGTGTCCTTCGCGTTTTCTTTCGGTCCGTCGTGTGCAAAGTACATTGAGGGAATGTTGATGATTGCAATTAGAAGACCATATGGTAAGTGACACCAAGACGTGTATCCTGATGTTTGTGGTCAGGGCACGGTCGGCTTACCAATTCTTGAAACGACCACACAAGATATCGGAGACAGAATCACGATTATCAGCGGAGAGTCGCTAACTCAACCCACACCGGACGACACTTGGTTGGTGGAGGACATTAGTCTCTCGACTACAACGCTGCGCTTCTCGGCGTCAAACGAAATTTCCACAATCAACAATGCCGCAATTGCCAATTCTCGTATAGTCAATGGAGCCCGTTCAACAAAGGCGATTGTTACCATCGCAATCAAGTTCGGCCTCAGGACCACTCATGAGCAAATAGATATCTTCAGAGACAGAGTGGAGTTCTTCCTGAAAGACAGACCAGAGATATGGGACGGGCTTGTCCACTTTAGAAATGATGCTGTGGACCACAACGCCGCTTATGTCCAGTACTTGCTCCGTGTTCAACACAAGAAATCATGGCAGGACATGCCTCCTATAATGGTGCACAAGGTGAGCACAAAGAGTTCATGTCTACTGCGACTGACTGTGCGACTGACACTGTACCCTATTTTCTTTGCAAAGGGCGAGCTCGATCGCTATTGTACAAAAGTAGCTGTTGATCTAAACATCGCGTGGTTGTCGTCTCATCACAGGATCAGGGTCGTCGAAGTCCCACCGATCCAGTACGCCAAGGACGATGATGGCGGTGTTGATGGCAAAGTTATCGGTACAGGCAAAGGTGAAGAGCCGTTTATGAAATTTATCAAGGCCGAAGTTGGCTAGGTTCGGTAGTACCTGGTAACGTCAATTCCAAGGCGTGCCGCTCGTCACTCTAGATCAAAATAGAACATAGATCAAACAAGCACATGCAGAAAAGTCGATTGAGAACGAAACTTTTAACTTGTTTAGTAGAATTGTATAATAGTGTGTAATCACGTTGCTTCTGGGGTGAACATGATGTTGGGTGCCGCTGTCGAGAACGCAAGGGTAGGACTGCAAACTCGAGCGCGACATGGGATTGCATTTGCGCCCGTACCTGCCCGAGGTGTTTGGTCCTCAGCTGCGTTGTCTGTCGAGAAAGAACCTCGAGTAACCTTCCGGTCAAACTCTTCAATGTCGTGGATGTAGTCCCTGAGGAACTCATCACAGGATCTGCCTGCCAAAGACACCTTGTCGTGTTTCAGTATGGTATCAGCAACCGGACGTTGAGCGCTGGTTGGGGAAATCATTTGCTGGATAAGACCGCTCAATGCAGGGTCTCGGGAAGGCGGGAGTTCTGGAAGGTGTGATCCATTCCTCAGCTCATGCCATCGAGGCCCTTGTTTTGGCAGGTCAAAGCCCAACCCTGCAGCCATTTCGTACAAGGTGAGCCCCAAGCTGAAAATATCTGCACTGGTCTGCTTCACGGCAGAGTTTAGGAGTTCTGGGGGCATGTACATTTGATCACCTTCCTGCCCATCTTCCGAAGTCCCAATTTCGGCAGCCATCCCCAAGTCACCAATTTTGCACAGGCTACCCAGCTTGTGATGTGCCACAAAGAAAATGTTGGAAGGCTTGATATCATTGTGAACAATGCCCCGTGAATGGATGTGTGACAGACCGGCACAAATGTCATGGCAAATCTTCCAGACAGTCATGTTGGGAATCAGACGGCCACCCACATCAAATGGCCCACCGGCCACAACCCCTACCGGTGTTGGCAAGTGGCGTTGGAGACTGGGGTACTTGTTTTTGGTATGAGCCCAATGGATGCTCATGCAATCCATCAGTTCACGACATGTATCGCGACAGCACAGCTCGGTTTGACAGAAAAAGTGACCGTCTTCTTGCCATGCACGATAAAAGAAAAGCAGATAGTGCAACGACTTGATAATCTTTTCTTGCTCTTGCGGCGAATTGGCATGCTGTTGCAAGCGTTGCATGGATCGGACTTCGGCCAAGGCAAGTTCTCGGTCACGTTTGCCTCGAAAGTGTCGTCGATTCCTCTTGACGGCATAGAGTTTCCCGTCAAATTTGGAGCGCACCTTGTAGACATCGGCAAAGGCACCCTTTCCCAGAATGCCGTGTACTTCAAAATCTGTTTCAAAGGAAACAATGGAACCCATCTCACGAACCGATCGTCGAATGGCCGGTGGTGCTTCGGGATGCTGCGGCACGGCAGCAACGGAGGATTCATTCAGTTCCATGTCTTGGTCCATCATCGCCGAGTCGGACTGGTTCTTATTGGCGTCGTCGTCGTCTTCCGGATGATGATTATAATCGGGTTCCATAGTTTGCGGCGAGCACGTGGCCAATACCCGCGTCATGATTAACGAATTGGAACGATGATGTTTCTGAAGGAGACAGGGTCGTTCTCCTCCGGTCTGCACCGCAAGATCCTCATCATCTTCCTCCACTCCAATACACGGTTGCGCCCAAACCGGAGTTCGTACCGGCGTCGGCGGACAGAGTGGTTGCCGTTGTTTGGGTGAACATGGAGAACTGACCGTGTCATCTCCCCCCGATTGTTTGGACCCCGCGTCCATTTCAAAGGCCGACATGTCGGGCATGGGTCGAAACCGTCGTTTGGACGACGCCACCGATTCGGCTGTGGACGAAAAGGACAAGCGATCTTCTTCTCCCGATTTTGGCGGAGGCATTTCTTTTGTTGCAGCCGCATGTGGCTTGGGAGGGAGACGCGACACTTTTCGAGGTGCCGGCCTGGTCCGTACCAGTTCCTCTTCTTCGGGAATTCCCGGAATGGGAGAACATCCCACGGCATCAAACTGAAAGTGCATTTGTACTTCTTCCGGTGTGCTGGGCAAGGTACTACCGGAGGAATTGTGGTGGTGATGTTGCTGTGGTCCTCCCTGTGGAAAACCATTCGCAAGGCAGTTGCGTTGTACACTACCTCCTGGCAATCCCGTCGTACTGGTATCCTCATAGTATCCGGATAGATTTCGGAGCGGAGAATGGGACGACATGGTGGATGGAAAGCTGTGAACATGACGTTGTTCGTACGGACGCGACAGATCCGTAGGAGCCGTGGGTTCTTCCGTTTCGTCCAATGGCATCTTCAAGACGTCTAGAAGCAATTAAGAGAAAACAAACAAGCGTGTGAGACTTCCTTTCTGTGCATTACTCAATCCACAGTTTCTTCCACGACAACTATACAATACTCACCCTTCTCGGCGGCTTCTCCTAGATCCTTGAATGGACTTTCTTCCTTATTGTTGTTGTTGTTTTTGCTGCTGTTGGTGGGACTACTGAGCATCATGTTGAAATTGAGACGGGTGCGTCCCGCCGCGGCGGCCCCATCTTCTTCTTCCTCGTCGTCATCATCATCATCACTGTACGCGTACTGTTCTTCTTCCAAAAAGAGTCGCGTATGAACCGGTGGCAACTGCATGCGGGCATCGTCTTCTCCATGCGTAGAGAGCGAACTAATGGATGTGTTTTGGGTACCATCTTCTTCGCGGGAATGATTGACTTGTTGGTTGGATGGAGGTGGAAACATCATGCGTTTGCGGACGGAATCGGGGACATCCCGGGGATGAACCCGTGGCAACGAAGCGGGGAAGGATGTAAATCGAAAGGGCTCGGTTGTTTCGTCGGGTTGGGTGGTGGGGAGTGTGGTGGCCGTGGAGGGTGCCGTGGGTGTGAGGGGGAATTTGTGGAGGAGGGGTGGTTTCCACGAGGCGGGTTGTTTGCTGCTCGTATTGTTCGTGGATATAGTAGTGTTGGTTCTCCAATTCTGATGACTGATACTGAAATGTCGCACGGGAGTTCCCTTGCTCTTGATGGATTCGTTGCTATTGTGGCGAGCCAGTTTTCGTACCGTTCCCGGACAGGCTAGTTCATCTTCCTCATCGTCTGCCAATTCCGTATTGTCATTGCAGTTATGAAACAGTCGATTGCTGTGTACGGTTGCTTGTTGCCTCAGATGTTTGCGTCCACAGGAGGAATGAGGCGTCAATTCTGGTGGTGGTTGTTGTTGTTGTTGTTGTTGTTTCAAGGCACTGCCCAGCGTGGCGGCCGATGCCGAAGCTCGTCGTTTGGCCACTCGAAAGATGGAATGAAAGTCATTGTCGAGCAACGCCGCGTCAAAGGAAGAATGCAACGCGGCGGAAGGCGTATGTTGGGGTGGTTCTTGTTCTTCTTGTCGTCGTTCTTCCGGACTATGATTGTGAGTGCTCTTGCGACAACTGCTCCTGCCATCATCCAGACTGCGGGTCCTCCAAATGTACGAGTCATTGCTACCACCAGTACTTGTACCGGCGGTAGTAGGTAGGGGAGACTCTTGAGATTCTCTACTAGTACTTGCCGTCGCCGCCGTCCTCTCCATCAAGGGTAGTCGTCTGTTGGGTGGCTTCATCTTGAGGCCGGGGGTTTGCCATGGCAGATAAGACGATGCAGATGAGTGATTCTCCATCTTGCTTGCTTGTAGTGTAAGGCACTATCTTTTGTGTGAAACTGAAAGACTCCGCGCCAAAAATTAACACGATTGATGTGCTACCCTCTTCCGAATCCAATCTCAACAGAATTTATGGGTAATACAGCAGATAATGAAGTGTGAAAGGACTCTATCAAGGTTGCTGATAAGCCACTTTAGACAAGTTAGTTAGTCTTGTTGTTATCTTGTTATCTTTGTTGTTATCGCCTTGGAAGGTGGCAGCAGATACCCTTCTTGTTGCTGCTTGCTTGCTTGCTTATTCGCTTGGTCTTCTTTCGCTCTCATCACACACAAAGCCCGCACGCAGTGGTATTCGCTCGGATGCTGAAGCTCACATAGCACGGATCGAGAAGCCAGTTACCTTCCTACCAATTCCTACCTAACGAAAACACGAACGGTACATTTTCTACGATAGACCTCGTTTCATTGGTTGTCACTTTGGAAAAAAGAGGAGAGGCATCCGAGCATGTCCAGCAATTAGCTTCTTTACACATACATGAATAAAGCTTTAATGAAATAAAATGCAGATTGGCACGTCTGATCTGTCACGAGCGTGAATGAGAGCCATTGGCGCCCATCAGCCGCGATCAAACCAACTCCCAAGCCAGCTGCTGAGCAAGCTGCCGAGTGGATGTCCCGGTACCCCAACCGGGACAGCTGCCATGACGCCAGGTACTGGTACCACCAAGTACCTCTACTCGTAGCACAAATCCATCCATGTCCGTATTCAAGTTATTCACATGATATCTTCCTGTAGAGTTGAATTAATTGAAGCAATTCAAAACCAAAATGATCGTCATCTCTCTCTACCCCCGGTACCGTACTATACTCCGTCGTGGTGGCTTTGCACCTCTGTGGTGCGTGAGCGAGTTGTACCTGCTACCGTACCGGCACCACTGTACCGGTACCGGTATCGTGCTGCTTTCTATCTTCCGAATAGTACCATACAACTTACTTGCTTTGTGTTCCATTGATTTGACCATCTCTGCAACCTCTCTAATAGCATGGGAAACTTCATAAGCGGACGTGCTTGTTTTGATACTACTCATGCAACTCTCGCTGGATGATCAGGCACCACAATGCCAACAAACTGATCTGCTTTGGCAACCGGACATCGTTGCCAAGAGGATCCTGCCATACGGTACGGTAGACTAAGAAAAGTACACCAAAACCACACGCAAGGAAGTGACAGCATGCACACCTAGCTAGCTAGGGGCCCCGATACATTGCGTTTCTGGTGTACTACCAACATTGACTGGCACTGACTAGCAACTAATGATCTTCTTCTTCGTACTGTCTAGGGATCCAATATTGCAATCCAATTACCAATACATGTAGTACTTGAAAGCACACATACACAAGCTCACGAATACAATGTCGATAACGCAGTGCAACCTGGTTTCTTTTCTATTTCTAATTGGATCATCACAGGCGTGCTCTACCAATAGAACTTGCCCGACAGGTTGAGGGTAACATCTTGCCAGGCACGATTGTCACATTGAAACAAGTCCACAAGTGCTTGCAACACCACAGGGTCAGATTCCTTGGCAGAAAAGGTTAGTGTTGTAATGGATTTTTCCTTTTGCATGAACTTCAACAGTGCCACACTGTCCACTTTACCCAAGGTATCAGGGAGTGAGACCTTGGTCTGGTACTGTACAGGAACGAGTCTCTCCTGAAACACAGTTCCCAAGTTTCTGAGGAAGAGCTTCTTTTGCACTTGCCACTGTTTGAGTGTGGCAACATTGGAAGCACGCATATCGTCCACAAACCGAACGCTCTCCCATGGTCGGTCATCGCACAGCATGAGGTGTCGCAAGGCCACGGCAATGATCCGGGCGTCTCTGGATCGTCCTAAAAAGTCTTCCAGTTCCAATTTGACAATGCCTGGGTGCCGCTGCACTTCATCCAAACGATCCAATATGAAATCAGTGCTGACCAGTCCGTCACTACCGAGAATGTTCATCATGTCCGTGTTGGCTAGTGCATCCGTCGTCGTTACCTTGCGCCTTCCCATCAAACCACGATTGGTTCGTGGTACGTTTTTGGGGAACTTTCGCTTCTTGATGTTCATGGCCTTGAGCGTTGGTCCCAATACACTCACACTGCTGCTGAAGCTTCCTCTTCTAGTAGACTTGGAACGTGTCTTGGGGCTTTGTTGACTAGTTCGTAACATCATGCTGCGTTTGTTGCTGGGAGGAGAGTCTCTTTGCGGGCTAGGGTTCCTGGATTGTTGCACGCTAGGTGTTGTCTGTTTGAGCCTATCGTCTTTGGCATCTCTTGCACTGTCCTTTTGGGCATTCCTGATGCTCCCTTGAATGGCAGGCTTCCTGGTTTGATTAGGAGAGTCTGTTTGAGGGGAGTCTCTATGAGGGCTGGGCTTCCTGGATTGTTGCACGCTTGGGGTCGTTTGTTTGAGACTTTCATCTTTGGAGACCCTTGCATTCTCCGCTCGGGCCTTTAGGATACTTGCTTGAATGGCTTGCTTTCTCTTTTGATAAGCCGAAGAGCGACCCTTTTCTTCACTGGCCTTGGTTTGTCCGCTATGCTTGCGTGCTGGAGACTTGCGGTTTGAACACCGCATCGTGAGCGTTTTTTGACTCTTTTCCTCGGTCGAAGCTCCAGACAGCTTTGTTCCTTTCCCTCTGGTCATCTCGGGTCTAGGTCGTACTTTGAGAATCATTGTGTTTTCTAAAATGGTATCTTTGTTTCTTTGAAATATGAGAGCGGGAGGTGCGGAGTACGTGTACTGCAACGGTACGGCGGCTCGTGCCAATGGTCAACAGCAACGTTCTTGCCAGGCTCAAGAAACTATCTTGGTTTGAGGCTTCATCGTGCCGCGAGGTATCGTGACCAAAGCAATGCGTTCCCAGCTACATATATACCTCCCTACTCTAACACCCCTTTTATTTCCCGGCTACCGCTACCCACTAGCTAGTATGGTATCCATTTTCGACTCTTGCATCACTTCCTTCAGGCGCGGTCCTAACCAGCTATTTGCACCTCTTTCTTCCTCCCTTCGTTCCTGAAATCAATTTAACTGTTAAAGTTGGCTTGCTTTTCTTCCAATTCCACGAAAGCTGCGGTACGGCGAACCATTGATTTCCCATTCTCAATTCGCCGCACCGCAGCTTTCGTGGAATTGGATTTCGCGAAGGACCAATCAGAACGTTAGAGCCTGCCGAACTCAGTCACGGCCACAAATCCCCAACTCTAATGAACTAGTTTGACCACGTTCGGTGGAGCGAGCGTTCGATCGAAGTGTACCTGGTTGCTACCAACAAACCCATCTCGACAACCAAGAAGGTTAACAACCAAGCCATTAAGCGAGAGTAACCTACATGCTAATAACTTTGCTAGCCTTCTTGGTTGTGAAGATTGGTCTGTTGGTAGCTAGCTAGCTAGTGGCTAATAGCTAGCTAACGAGTACCTCCTCATCTCGAGATCTCACTTTTCGATTTTTGATTTTCGTTAGAGTTGGGGATTAGTGTGTGTTTCTTTGGCGAATGACGAATGCACATGCGAATGACGAATGCACATGTTTGGTTAGGAGAGAAAACATCATTCGTACGCCTAAATAAATCGACGAAAATAAATGTGTTTCGCGAATGCACGGAGGACACACATGGCGAATGGATAGGACCTCGCCTCATGCCCCCCATATTTCCTTCATGCTGGAAAGGTCCGAAAGGTCGGATGCAGAGTCCGGTAGCTCTAACCTTACCGTAGTGCACCGCTTCAGCCACATCGGTTCAAACGTCTTTTAAGGTCTGGCCGTCGCTACACTTGGTTTTTCTTCAAATTGCTCGATTTGGGTGGGGATAACGACCAATCTTCTCTTATTTGACACAAATTCGATCAAAAGAACCATAGAATTGTCATTTGTTGCCCTACCACGGCCAGACCTTAAGAGCCAAATCCTCGATTTTGAACCGATGTGCAGCGGCAACCAGTCACACGATCGAGCGAAGCTCGTATCTGATCTTGCCCCTCGGTTCTGTCAACCAATGCAACCGTTTTTCCGGACATGCCTGAAAAGCTGTATACTGGGGTGATCAAACAATCAGCCTTAACCAGAACTTGTTAGAGTTTGTTATCTAGGAGAATAGAAGGCAACAAGCCAACCTTGTCAATCACAAACAGCAATGCCCTTTGAATTGCTCTGGGCTCCATTACACAGCATGGAATGCTCAACAGATGCTGGTCCACAACAGCATGCTCTCTCATAGGTCCATTGTGTTCCAGATTGCTAGATTGCAAGGTTGCCTTCACCACCACCAATCTCAACCAACAGATCCTCACCATGCTGTCCACTCGGAGTGGGAAAACAAGCCATGGTGCCTTGGCTCCAAAGAACCAACACTGGCAACCAGCCGTTGACATCACTCCCAATCAGCTTCAGTCACTGGATCAACATAGCCAACAACATCATAATGAGAGTATCGCATTTCTGAATAAAAACAGCAGCAGCATGAAAGTAAGTGTGGTGATTGTTGACATCATGGCGGAAGCAGTGTGTCAAGGCTCCAAATGTTTTGAATCGCCTGTTGACAGTTTCGTGTCTGGCTCTCAATGCAGCCATGGATGTCTTGTGTTGGCAGTTTCTTGCGCCATAAGGTGTGAGACACTTCCAGTCGCCTGCATAGCCTCTGTCACAGAGAACCTTCTCCCAAGGAAGCAACATGCTGCGGAGCCAATATCAGAATATCGAGATGTCAGGGGTTGCAGCTGGAAAGGGACCGTGAATCCAAACAATGTCACCAGTTTTAATGCACACTCCAATCTCATAAGTCACTCCAGCATGACGGAACTTGTGCGAGAACCATGCTTTGTTGTACTGCTTCGATCCACGGAGCATTATGTTTTTGATCATGAAGTGTGTCCCATCGATCGTGACGAGACACCGGTCGCCCGCTTCGTCCATGAGCCGGTTGGCCCAAACGATCTGAGTCAGAGTGACAACATGATGACGTTAGCACTAGCATGCAAAGCAAGGCAAGACAAGAAGCGGTTGCTATGTACAGGAATGCACTACGCTAAAAGCTAGTGTAAAGATCTTTCGAGTGTTTTGAGTTTGAGAGAATGAAAGTTATGAGAGAGATTAGAAAGCTATGAAAACTAATCAACGAGAGAGATCATCATCAAGGGATCGTAGATCTGGCCTCCCGCGGGAGACTGTAAAGTGTGATAGAGTAGGTTGCGGTAGTAATCCTACGTATCTCCACGATCCTAAAACGGAACGCGTGGAAGATTTGTCTAGCATGGATCTAGTAGCGTGGAAGTACTCCACGCTGGCTAAATATCTAGAGCGATGTTTCATCATCAACCTAGTATGACCAGAGCGGTCATTGAGAACCCTGTCTCAAATGACTATTCACGAGAGACTCAGTCATGAGTCGAACTCAAACCCTATCTAGGATCGAGTCGCGAATAAGGCTAAGAGCCGTGTATTGCATTCGCCCCCTGACAAGGGTCACAGAAGGCGCGACAGCAGTCGGACAAGGAGAACATATGGTTTAAAGTGCGGGGCACTATCATGAGATTTGGATGTAGACATGTGCATCGCACGATGGCAATCCTACAAGGGGATCAGGCCTTGTATGGGTGTATATACCTTATGTTCCAAGTCTGGTAGACTGTGCCGCCGTTGGCGGTAGCGTGTCGGAGCCGTACAGTGCTATTGTCATTGACTCGGTCTATAGTGTAAGGACCTTTGTACTTTGGCTGACCTTACTTGCGGTGCTGATACTGTTGAATCATCACGGTATCGTTGACATTGTATTGATGAGGGACACGCGTCGCGTTTTCCCTATCGTTGTTTTGTTGGAT